GACATTGCATGAATCAGAGGTAAAAAAAACGATATAAATACGGTTTAGTTTCTTGCACAGACCGATCGTTTTGTGTCTTTACACATCAATGTATCATCACGAGCCGCAGGGTTTAATTTGGTTTTGTTTGTGTATGTTGTCTTTTACTCTCAAAGCCGTAATACATTTGAAATCTCAAAGACATAATACATTTGAAAAGTAGAAAAAAAAATGTATGAAGACGTGATAAAAAGTTTCCGAGACTTAATATGGCCTTCATATAACAAAAAAGAAAACAAGTTGAAATCTGTTAGTTTTAATAAAAATCGACCCCTGAGACATAAAACTGCCCGAAGTTGAAGAAACATCCACTTTCTAAATCAATTTTGCTACAAAGGACTGATAACATGAGAAAGAGGCCGTAAGACCCCAAAACTCGAATCACCTGCTCAAATGCTTTCGCCGATCTGTCCTTGCTTCTCATTGGTCAGCTCCGCGCCACGCAAAGGGACTATTCTCCACCGTGTTCTGTCCTCGTTATTGTGGAAATTAGCCTAATCTGATTAATTGTCAGCAGACGCCCATCCGTGCCCTCCAGAAAAACAGTAAGGCAGCCAAGCAGAATGATCACCTAATTATATTTGAGATGAAAAGCCTGATAAGCATTTGCACGCTCACACATTAACTGCATTGACACGGAACTGACCTTAATCAGTTTCATATGACGGGCTGTCACAGACTCCAGCCGAGCGACTTTGATTTACTGTGTTCACAGTGAATTTGATCAGGGAAGGGGATGTTGACGTTGCAGAGTAGGTAATTCTACACTAAACCTTCACTGTCTGGTGTTTGCTCAAGGACGGTGACTGTTGTGCTTTTATTTAGCTTTTTCCTTTGTAGAGAAATTATAGCAAGGCGATGTGTTCTTTTTTTGTTTTTCCTTCAACTGGTTTATAATTTGTTGGATTAAAGAAATGTGAATAAAATTGCATGTTTTATTGCTTTGGTGCGAATAGAAAATGCATTGGACTGTTTTAGCATGTATCTGCTGGCTGGTGATAACTAGATCAATCAGAATACAGGGGTGTCAAGATCCGTTTTTAAAAGTTGAGCTGTACTTTTAACTTAACACGCCATCTCAAATATAAAGATTTATTTTTTAAATAAAGCCATTTATCGCATGTTCATATAGAAAACATTTAAACAAAGCTGCAGACAGATGCAAGAAAGCATGTGAACTGTCCCTTAATAGGTTAGGATTCAGCAAATGAGACATATCGTCCACCTTAACCC